AGATCTCTTCATTCTTATTGTTTCAGGTACCTGGACCTCCTCTGAGGTCTTATCATCTGTTATGTCAGGGGGCTATTTTTGAGCAATTGCCTCCATATTATGATCTCCTAGATCATTTCTTCGTTTTCGCTTTCGAGGATTTTTATCTTTGGAACCAATTGGTCTACCATATTTCAAGCGTGGATTAGAATCCTTTGCATTTATAGATTGTCCAACCGGGACATCAATTCGAATAGGAGCATTAGCAGTTGGAATATGTGACTTAGTCACCCTTGGTAGGTTAGTAAATGCATCTAGCTGTTGATTTGCAACATTTTGCATATAAATTATCTTTTGAACCTCGTGTTCACATTGATTTGTTCGAGGATCTAAATGAGATAGTGATAATATATTCCAATCTATCTCTTTTTGCAGCTGCTTATCTTCTCCCCCTAATATTAGGCCTACTGATTCATCAAAATGACAATCAGCAAATCTTACCATAAAATCTCCAATCATAGGTTCCAAATATTTTATAATAGAAGGAGATTCATACCCAACATATATCCTCAATCTTCTTTGGGGTCCAATCTTTATGCGTTGTAATGGAACAATTGGAACATATACTGCAAATCCAAATATTCTAAGATGGGAAATATTTGGCTCCTGACCAAAATTCAATTGTATTAGGGAGACTTTATGATAACTTGTGGGTCTGACCCGCACAAGAGCTGTTGCATGCAAAATAGCATGGCCCCATGCCGAAATGGAAAGTTTTATTCTCATAAGCATTTTCCTAGCAATTAATTGGAGGTTTGATCAATGATTCCGCTAGACCATTTTGAGTATGAACATGAGCAACTGGATGCTCAATTGTTATCCCAGTTGATATGCAATAATCATTAGGCCTAAGACGTAACCAACATTATCAAGACGAAGTGTCTTAATTGCATAATATGGAAACTGTTCTCTTAATCTTATTAATTGAGCTAGTAACCTCGCAAAGGCCAAATTGCGGGTTGATAACAAGCACACATGTGACCATCTTGTAGATGTATCTATCAAAACCATATAATATCTGAATGGTCCACATGGAGGCTGTATGGGCCCACATATATCACCTTGTATACGTTCCAAAAATGCAGGAGATTCAACTCCAACTTTAATTACGGATGGTCTAATAATCAGTTTGCCTTGAGAACATGCAGCACAAGAGAATTCTTTAGTTTGAAGAATCTTCTGGTTCTTCAATGAATGACCATGTGAATTCTCAATTATTTTGCCCATCATATTATAACCGGGATGGCCTAACCGGTCATGCCAAATAATAAAATCATTAGTAAATCCTTTGTTTACTATGGCATGTGATTCGACTATACCAATACTAGTGTAGTATAATCCGGAGGAAAATGCGGGAAGTTTTTCAAGAACATACTTCTTTTTCGCTTTTACTGTAGCAATATAAAGATATTCAATATTACCTTCATTCGTGGTCTCAACATGATAGTCATTTTGGCGAATATCTTTGAAACTCAACAAGTTTCTTTGAGACCTACTACAATATAATGCATCATTAACAACCAATATAGTTCCTCCTGGTAGTAATACAGTCGCTCTTCTAGAGAACTCAATTAATTTTGTACTACCAGATATTGTTATGATATTGGATCTTTCATAATTAAATAAGAGTAATATCTCTTATTTTTTAATATGGTGTGCGTCGTAGCACTATCAAGAAGGCATATCTCTTATTTATTATTCATACGGCCAACTGAAGATTGGAAAGTTTTCATATTCTTCATAAAGAAAAGAAAATACATTATAAGTAATATTGAAAAATTTAAGAATAAAAGAAACTATATTTAGGAAAGCAAATACTGAAAACATAAAAAAGAATTGTTCAAAATATGAACTTCATTAAAAAATATATTTAATTCTTATACTTTCTTTCCCAATAATAAGTCTTCAGTTATTATGCACAAAGAAGTCTCCAACTTCTAAATGAGTAATATAACCTTCAAAAATATTATCTTTATAGGCAAGGTTTGCTTCAACTTTATCATGATTATTCATAAGGTCGCGTCTCAACATCATTTGAAAGGTAAAGTGAGTCTCAACATTATTTTGTTTCCCTTTTATAGAGGCTTGATAAAGTTTGACAAAATATTCAGGCGTACGATAATTCGTGCCAATAATTTTTCCACATCAAATATTACCTTTGCCTTTTGAAGGATTTATTCTGAGAACCTTTATTGTTTTCTTGTTTATAATGACCACCACCATGGGGATTATTATTTCATCCCTTGCCACGCCCACGTATGTTCATACGGCCACGATAATTATTTTATCTTCTTTCAGACTTTTGATCTATCGCTATTACATTCTCTTCGGGGAATGGAGTTGATCCAGTGGAGCGGGCTTCATGATTTTTCACTAATAGGAAATTATTATTTTTTTTGCCTTAGCAATCATTATGCCATCAATATCATACATTGGGATTCAAACCCAATATGACTTGAACCTTGTGTCTTACCCTCATGGAACATTGGGACTTGAACCCACCGTCTTACCCTCATATAATATATATCACAAGTTGTTTCATTCATTTTAAGGAATGTAACATAATTTTGTGTAGCTATAAATTTAATTTTTGATCAATTCAATATAGTGAAAACTATCATAAAAAATAAGTGAATTGGAGTGATAAGAATTATTATCATTGAAAAAAAAATTGAATGCAGTACATAATCGTGTATTAATATTCTATATGTATAATTATCAAACAAACAATTATGTGCAGTGCGATGATAAATTAGTGTTTAATATTACCCACAAAAACTTTAGACATGAAAGTATATTTCCATAGAATAAATAAGTTGAACTAATATGTACTAGTATAATTTTGTTCTACTTAGAATACGTTTCAATAAGCTAAGTAGGCATAAAACTAGATGATATCAATTTTGACAAGTTTCAACATTCAATATGATTCATCTAATAGTTAAGTCGTTAATTTTAAAGTCATTAATTAGTTTGTACACTTAGGTGATAAATTTATTGAAGACACATTTAAACCTTTTGAAAATTTCGCAAGAATTCCTTCTAAATGCATATTCTGTTAGAATATTTGGATGTGACCTTAATTAGTCTAATTATTGTAATTCAATTTAATACTTATTTATTTATTTATATGTAGGATTAAACTTCTTCGTAGTTATATAATGAAATAACAATTAACCAAAACTTATTGTTTCATACCAATGCAATTATTATAATCATATTCAAAATAAGTTATGCATATAGTAATTAAATTGCAGGTTAAAGAAGATCTTAATAGAAACTTTATAAACATAGGAATGTATACCTGAATCGGAAAAGAAACTGACTACCTCTTTTAGGAAGAAGATAAAATTCGGATGAAGCAGATAACCTCAGTTGGTTAGAACCTCGTACTGATAACGTATTAAGAAATAAGAGCAAAATAGAATAATGGAGACAAGATATATGTAGGAGGAGAAGGAAGAAGTTATCTTATTCAAGTGTGTTCTTGTGTCCCTTCCGTAGGAGAATAACATCCTATTTATAGGTTACAAAATATCTTCTCAAATTACATGTACTAATGAACTCATTCATATGGTGTATAAATTCCCAAAGACAGTTACGGAAAGAACATCTACAAGGGACATCCACATACATTGGTTTATAACACTATATTATTTATACAGGAATATATCATTATTAATGAATTTGAAATTGTGTTTCTGAAGTCCAAAGGGTTATCATGCGAATTGAGACATAAGAATATTACTTTTAAAACATTTTTAAGATCGATTTTTCCCTTTAGATTATATTTTATATTTACGCGTAGTCTGGGTAGAGTGTGCTTCATTGGTAGCAAACATTCACTTGTTGCCTTGCGCCGACATGAGACTGTAAGCAAAGTAACAGGTATATGCACGTCGGACCCCTCCAAATTCGTACCAACGTAAATTTGCTGTACATTTGGCCCTTTGATAGCCATGTAAAATTCGGCAGGTCCAAAACTCCAAATTCGTATTGACTTCTACTTTACAGAAGAAATTGGACCTTAGCTAACCCAACAAGTTTGAAAAGTATCCATTGCCGTTTTGCTGTATAGCAAAGAATTGTTAAAATGGCTTAGGGATAGATTTGGAATAGGCTATGGACAAGAGTTTGCCTTTCTGGAAATGAGTCTGTGATAATTGATGTCAATGCACTTCACGTTTTCATGTCTTAGCTCTTAGGAATCCGTCACTATTGTGACTGGTATTTACCAATTAAACCCTGAAACATGACGTTTCCTATATTTCGTCCACTAAAAATGGACACTTAAGGCGGCGTTTGTGCTATGATATTTCACACCTACTAAAATTAATTCTAATTATGTTTATCGTCATGTAGCTTTGGCGACTTAGGATAGAGGATTAGGGGCGACTTCATAATTAGATTTGATTGCTCAGCGCAAAGTGAGTGAAACGATACCATTAGCAATTACATGTAGATGCAATGTTTGGTGAAGAACCACTAAACAGTAGTTACCAAATTTCAGATTGATTTCATCTTTGAGAAGAACTTATAGCTAGGAACATTGACATTTGATTCATGTTAATTAAGCTTTGGAATCTTTAACATATTATGAAGTAGTAGTTTACGAGAACAGAAAATTGTTTGCTTCTTTCTTTATAAGGGTAAAATGATTCTCATTCCGCGTCGTTTAGACAATTCAATTGGACAAGTTACAGGGACTGCGAATATAAACAGGTGAAGCATAAATGATTTTTGTCGTTTGCCTTAGTTGGCAAACCCTGTGCTAATTTGGATCCATAATTGTGGATTAGAATAGTTTAAATAAATTAAATAGTGATTTGTGGACCTAAATACAACCAATCTTCACATGAACAGGAGAGATCCATCAGCTTTAAACGTGTTTAGGCACATATATCCATGTTCTCGGAATAAACATTTGAATTAATGGGTGCATGAACAAACAACAATGATGATAGAATAAAGAAGAAAGAATTTCATATACAAAAGCAAACTTTCTGAGCAAACATAAAGAGTTTGAGATGCCAATTCTCCCTAAATTACAAACTAGTCACAAATTAACAAACAAACGAAAGACAGTACAACAGAAAAGATTCCAAAAAAAAAAGGTCGTCTTCTTTGGCGCATGAATGAAATTAACCAAATATTGAATTACAAATTAACCCCACTGGTCACCATCCACCTAACACCTTTCATAGATCTTCACTAAATATTTGCAGGTTTTTTACACAAACTAAGAAAAATTACGACCCCACCTCCTCACATGCCTTCATAGAAAGAATACAACACTACATACAGATCCACCCTTGATTTGCTTGTCTTTTTCTTCCCGATCTTTCTCCACATGACTATTGCCTTCCTGTATCAACACTTGTTCAACTTTTTGGTCTGCCCTTTACTTACTCCTTCCCTAATTGGAAAATTTTATTCCTACTTTTATTATAATCCATTTCTTTAATAATGATGGTTCTTAAAGGATGGTGATGTACACGATGTGGGGATAATAAATTTGACTTTTTCCTCACTAAGAGGATGCCTTAGTAACATCTTTGCTAGATCTATTGTATTTCATGTGACTCTTAACCAGCTGCCCTGCTGAGATAGCAGACATGAGAGAGAGCTCACCAGCAAGAACAGAACCTGCTACTATTGTGGCCAAGAGCCTTGCATTTGACCCTGCTGCCTCCCTGTTTGCACCTTTCACTCCTAATAAGTTCAAGCAAGCTGACTGTGATGCAAGTTGAGTTCCACCACCAACTGTGCCAACCTGAATTCATAATGAGAAATGCATTATTAATACAATATACATGACGTGTAAATGTGGTATAACGATTCATGAAACACGAGCAAGTTTGTCTCCCACACCTGCCACTTGATCATGAATTTTTAACAAGACAGCCTCTGTCAATGAACCCAAATGACTAAAGACCATATTAATATTTCTGGCGCCACCTGGCCTTCTACAGACACTACACTAGTATATCTCAGTATTTAATTGTTCAGCTATTTGTCATTATTTTTTCTGGGGAGAATTCTACTACTATTAAACTTGAGATCTGATGAAATCAAAGCTGTAGCCTGCATTCACTTCGTTAAAAGCACCGTCTCTTTAATAATTTTAAACTGACTTCTTGTTTTTATCCATATTTTTTGCATTAAAAATCAGTAATTTAATGATTTTTGTTAAAAATATATGTCCTCACATGCAGTACGGCTTGGTGGAATAATGAATGAAGGTGCAACGAAAGACAGCAAGTAGTATAATAAAGAGTAGAGTACACATGTCAATTATATACCTCAATAGAAGGCATAGTTACTGAAATATGGAGGTCTTTGCCATCATTTACAGCCTCCATCATAGTGATGCAGTGAGAACTCTCAACATTCTGAGCAGGGTCCTGGCCAGTGGCTAGATATACAGCGGAGACGATGTTACTGGCATGGGCATTGAAGCCACCAAGGGCACCAGCCATGGCTGAACCAGTAAGGTTCTTAAGCACGTTCAGCTCCACTAGAGAAGCAACCTCTGTTTTCAAGACTTTCTTCACCACTTCTTCCTTGATAATTGCCTCGCAAACTACCGATTTTCCTCTCCCTTCAATCCAGTTAACTGCTGCTGGCTTCTTGTCCGAGCAAAAGTTCCCTGTCATGTTTCAAATAATTTCAATTAAATAAACATCGGAAAAAATAATAGTAGTAGCAACAATAAATGAAGATAGAGAACCAAAAGACGTGTACTATAACTGGATCTATATGCATACTAAAGAGAGAATAAATTGTGTTGTACTTAATTATTCTTTTTTCCATGCACTGAATAGTACTAATATGGAATCTGCCATGAAGATAGACCTAGAATTTTTATTATTATTATTATTTATTTATTTATTTTTGGCTTAGATAGAAAAAGTAGTAGTACTGAATAATAAATAAAATAAAAAGGGTCGACGGAATACCAGATATGCCGATGACGTCCATGTCGGGATATTCATTCTGAAGGTAATCCAGAACGTTTTGTACACCTTTTGACACCATGTTCATTCCCATTGCATCGCCAGTGCTACAGCTAAATCTCATATACAGATTTTTACCAGCTATAGCACATTGAATGCTCTGTAATCTGGCAAATCTGCTTGATCTGCAAAAAATCACATTCAAAACATAAATTATAAAACTTGAAATCACAACATTGGATAACATGCAGATTACAGATAATCTCAGCATCTATAAAATGAGCTAGTAGTTAGAATACTAGAAATTACCAATACTTTCTTGTCCTTTTCCCTTTTTTTAAGGTGGGTGAATTGAATAATGTATTCAGAGAAAAAGGATTTTAGAAAATAAAGGAAAAACTATATTAAAAGAAAGAAACAGATATGTTCTCACTAAACACATCAACATTAAGAGATCCTAAAAGGGGAAAGCTTAAGAAAAATTGTAACAGAAAATATTGACTCAAGATATAGAAAGAGAAGCAAAACTTAAATGCTCTGTTTGAACTATTTCATGCTAACTCTCACCAACTATACAAGAGCTCCAACATTCAGTAATTTAAAACTACCAGTTATGTATCGTGTTTTTGAAGGAAATTAAGCATAATAATATACTCCTACGTCTTGGGAAACAATAAGCATAAGACGAAAAATAGAATAAAGAAGAGGAAGACGAACACTTACTTGTTGAAAACAAGTGACAGAGTCTCAAAATTCAGGGGATCCTCCACGAAGAACTTCAAATCCGCAGCCCTTTTTGCAGTGGCGAACCTGACCACAGGAGCTCTAGTCATCCCATCTCTGAGCAACACACTTGTGGCGCCACCAGAAGCAAAGATCGCCTTGCAACCCCTGTTGGTGCTAGCCACTAAACATCCTTCCGTCGTCGCCATTGGCACCGAATACTCTCTTCCATCAAGCAACAATGGCCCCGCAATTCCCACGGGTATCTGTACGTATCCTACAGGCATCTCACAGCACTGCCCAAGGATAGATTCATAATCAAATCCCTCCAACGGTAGCCCTTCCAATGACTTCCCTGTAATCCTCTGCAACGCCTCTCTACGAACAGAAGCTGCTCGTTTGCAATCACCAAGCTTCGATTCCAAAGAATAAGACGGTGTTTTCCCCTGGACCACAGATTGTACAATCTCCTCGTCATTCTCGGATACTGCTGGTGTAATTATAGGTGCAGGCTTCTCCGCAACGGATAAAGCTACCTTAGCAGGTTGCTGTGGAACCATTGGGACAATTTGTCGAACAGGCGGTGGAGGAACAGCAGTACAGCCGAGAGTCGTCGCAGCAGCACATGGTCCACGTCGGCTATCTTCCTCAATAATAAACTGCTCAGTATTCTCATCTTCAACATCCCAGGAATAACTGTTGGACCTTGAGACAAAAGACTGAACAAATCCGATCCCGAAAAAGCCCAACAGATATATAACAGAAGCGATCAACGAAACCATAGCGACCAATTCAGAAAAGGTGACCATATGGAGAGGCGTCGAATTACGGATCTTCTCACGCCACCTGACGAGAAGGAAATACATGACAGAGAAAAACATGGTGAAAAATAAACCATTGGTGAGATACAATGGGAGTGGAAGGGCATCAGATGCTTTGGGAGAGGAAACTTGTTGGATTTGTTTGTGGGGTTTGAGAGGTTCGCCGGCGGAAACGTCATCTTTGGAAGAGTAAAAAGGCTTGACAGGTCGCCGGCGAACGTCCATTGTTGATTTTTCCGGTAGGAACACCGGTGAAGAAGGAGATAACGTGAGAAAATGAGGAATGAGAGAAAGAAGTATAAGCAGTGAGGGTATGTATGTGTGGAGAAGCGAAAGTTGAGGAAATGTATTTATAGAGAAAATGCGGTTAGCGCGCTATTCTTTGGGGCCACGCACTCCGCGTGCTGTTCGCCCATCTACTTAGTGTTTTTTCTGTTCTTTTTAAATTTTTATCTTCTTACGAAATGATGTCTGAATTTATCCCGAGTAATCTATTGACGATGTACATGTCCGGTCAGACCTCTCTATTAATAGTCCTTCATATAAAAGTTAATTTTTTATGAAATCAATTTTTATGTTATGTTATAATATATGTTCTTATAACAGCACATTACTATAATGCCAAAAAAATTTGGAACAAATAAGATTGTTATGGAGAGGTTTGACAGTATTATAGTCGCTAAGCATATGTCTCGGGTAAATTCTGTCCAATAAGGCACATATTTCCTATCGAGATGGATATAGCTATTAACAGCGGCGAACTCAGGAATTTAGTCTCGAGTATTCAAATTTGAAAGTAAAAAAGGAATTTTTACACAAATAGCCGGTCATATTCATTGTTTACTTTTTCAGGCATATATTAAATTATACATCGATTATACACAATTATAAATATATAATACATAAGTTATGCATATATTATATCTTCGTTAGTTATTTTCTATACCTTTCAAAACTTAATATTTTACTAATATACGCGGTGTAATTTTTCACGACCACCCTTTAAGACATGTAGTTTCTGTTAGCTGATGGGCTCATCCGAATTTTTTATAGAGAAAATCTCACTTTATACCCATTAATTCCAAACTATTTACTCTTTAATGCCCAGACCCAAACTATTTACTACTCCTACCCATGCTGCCCAAACAATTTACCCGGTTATTTCCCAATAATCTTACGTCTGTTTGCGACTGGTGGCTTTGGAAGTTCATCAACTCCTCGAATTGGCATGAGAGACTCATTCGGGTTTGGCTGATTGATTAACAAACTTGGTGGAGAATTCCGAATCTCCTCCTGTTTTTTTTTAAGAAATAATACCAAGAGTAAAGAAAAATGTAAAAAATTGGAGCGATACAGAAGATTGACATAACTTCTGAGTAAAGACGACAGGCACAAATAGTGAAAAATAAAATGTATGGAGAAGGAATGATGTTATAAATAGCTAATAAACATAGACACCTCATATTTTGACTATTGAATACCTTCTTCTTTCTCTTCATCCAAACTGTTTTTTGGAGATGTGTTGTACAAATTCAAATCCACCATTGAAGGACCTTGAAGCTTGAGACTCATAACTTGGTTTGTTTGAGTTTTTAATTATTTTGATCCGATCCTATATGGGTTTGTTTGGAAAGTTGATTGGAGGTTGTAGCTAAAGTTTTAGTCAATTTGGTGGAGATTTTGTAGTAGATTTTAGAAGTTTGGGTTGAAATATAGTTGAACAAGAGAAGAAGACGAATTTGTATTGTATACTCAAATAGTATACAAATATGCCATTTTGGTATACAATTCATTCCAACTATATACCCTATTAGTATAGCTATATACTATATTGGTATCATATGCTAGTTGAATCATTTTTTGGTTGTATTAGCTGCATTTATTAGTACAATATTTGATTTTCTTTTAATAATAGTAATATAGTACAATATCTTGAAATACTTTATTATATTAATATGTGGTACACTATTTTTTTATTTTTCTCTTTATGCATGTGTGTTATGTAATAGTAGTATAGTCATATAGTTGCTGGGAATTAAACAGTAAAACTGTATACCATGTTGGTATAGTTATATGCCATATTGGTATCATATTGTAGTTTGAACATTTTTTTGGTTGTTTTGGCTGCATTTTTAAGTGAATTTTATTCTGAAATAATTTATGTGAACGTGATTTGCTGTGCCGGAATTTTTTTGTGCTGATGGATATAGATTATGTGTATTATGTAATAATTTTTATAATTATAGGCAATTGTTGGAACTATCCATACAACTATATACCCTGTTAGTATATGGAATGAGCAAGTTGCTTTGCGAATTTTTAGCTTGCAATGCGAGCATGTAATTTTCTCATACTTTTACTGTATCATTTAATGTTTTGGTACAGTAGTATAGTCACAAATAGTTGTAGCAATATTCTAGAGCAATCATATACGCTGTTGGTATACATGTATACCATATTGGTATCATATGGTACTAGAAGTCTTTTTTGCTACTTATATTTTTATTGCATTTTCCAATATTTTATTATCATTTCTATTCTAACTAGTATATATGGAGATTTAGTGGCCATAGATTATGTTTTCTTGCTCCATCACCGGTTGATGTTACTGCTAATGGTAGAGTATGTACTGATATTTGTAGGGAAGGTCAAGGTTTGCATGGCAATCACGTGGAATTAGAAAAGGAACAAGAAAAAAAGAAAAAAAAATAACAAAAATAAAGGAGTCAAATTTGAGTGTGAAATAAGTTATGGTAAAAATAACAATAACACGATTTGGGCAAAAATAAATGAATAAAAGAGAAAAAAATAAAAAAATAGGAAGAAAAGGAGAAAAAAGAAAAGGAGAAAAGAAAGAAAAAAAAGGAAAAAAGAAAAGAAGCATAGAAATAAAAAAGAATTGGAGAATAAAGAAAAAATTCCCCACAAAAACTACTATGGGTAGGAAATGTAATTAGTTTATGGGTAGAAAACAAATGGGTAGACAAGGATAAATAGTTTTTTTTTTGTGGGTAACTGTGTCAAAACCCTTTTTTTTATATATATACCCATAAATTTTTATTAATGTAATAATTTTAAAAATAGAATAAATTTAGTGCTAAAATCTCAATGGTCGAATTCATCAATTTAATTACGGATCTAACTCAGTCTCTCATAATTTGTGTCCAATAAAGTTGGAGCTCATATTTTGTGATAGGGGTCTCCAAATAATTTGTTATGTGCCTCAACTCCTTAGCTATGTCCTCAGTGTTTTTTTCTCTTTTCTTTCTCCTATTAAATTTTTTATTATCTTTTTAAATTTCTTTTTTAGTGATAAATGGTGATTAGTTTTATTTGTTTCTGTTTTGTTCAGTTTGTGGTCAAAATTGGGGGTGGGGGGTGGGGGGAGTAGGAAGAAAGAAGGGTCTTTTACAGTATTGTTTTTTAGGGAAGAAGAAAAGGGTTTGTTACAGTTTACTAAGTCAAGTTGACTGGTGACGTGGATTAATGGGAGTAAACACAAGTAAAGGATACGAACACCAGAAGTAAATTCCTTCGCACTTTTTATTTTCTTTCTTTTTCTGTTCTTAAGCCCTTTAAAATCTTTCCGTGGTCAGTTTTTGGTAGTTCTTTTTCCTTAAGCACTCTTGTGAAAATATACCTAAATATATACTTCATCCGCTCCAAAACAAGTGATTTTTTGGTTGTTTTCACACATATTAAGAAACTCACCTTCATTAATTAGTAATAAAATTGACTATATTAACCTTTACTATCTCTTCACATAAACACTCCTAACACATACTCCAACATTATTTACTCCAAGGGCAATGTAGGAAAAAAATAATTAATTCATTTTTGAAATCTAGAAAAATTACTTATTTTGGATCACAAAAAAAAAGGCAAAAAATCACTTATTATGGACAGGAGGGAGTAATTATCATAAGATATTTAAGATTGATCGGCGACATGCATGAAAGTGTGTAGTCACTTCTTCTGTCACCCAAATAGAAAAATTAATTAAATAAAAAGTGATTAGTTAAAGAACTCTTAAGGGTAAGTCAGGGGTAGATTTTCTCCGGATGTCACATGGTACCAAGTGATCCTTTCATTTTGGATCACATTCTTGCTTAAACAATTCGATTATCAAATCTGAACTTTTGTTTTGTGTAATCAACTGTTAATATTTACTGTAAAGTTAAAATTAAGTGATGTGGATTAATAATTCTAAGTATTTACGAACTGTCAGTATGAAACGGATCATGCTAGATGGTTAATCATTAATATATTTTCTTCCCATTTTGCTAATCCTAACTTCCCCCACAATTTAAAAACTCTATAGGCAGGTGACAAATTACAAGTCATTAATCTAAGCAGTCCATTTGTTTATTTCCTTGAGTTGGTGAAACTGGTAATTGTTGGGTGTACAAAGTCCCATATTGGCAGATGAAAAGATTGGGAGCATACATATAAGATGTGTGAATTTTTTAATGGTGTGAGGCCTTTTGGCGAAAACCGTGCAGGTTTGGCCCAAAGTGGACAATATCACACCAAGTTAAGGGTATCTTTTGGATCGTTTTAGCCTTACAATTAGTATCCAATAGTTGGTGGGACGAGTATGGAGATGGCGAAGTGATGGCGTAGGTGCCTTTGCCCGTCTATGAGCCGGTTTACTACATTTACCCGTAGCTTCAAAGACGCATACACATCCTCTCATTGGGCTTCGGTGACCGTAACTCGAATGTGGGTGTGTAGAAACAAGAGGAGTAACTTGATAGGGAGTAAGGGGGTTTACTACATTTGCCCGTAGCTTCAAAGACGCATACACATCCTCTCATTGGGTTTCGGTGACCGTAACTCGCACTACTAAAAAACGTGAAATATTCCGACGGAAAAAAGTAGTCGGAAATTTCCGACGGAATCGGTCGGAAAATGCATAAAAATATATTTTTTAATTTTTAATAATAGTTACGACTAATATCCCGTCTATATCCGTCATAAATTTTGGCGGATAATTCCGCGTCACTGTTAGCGACCAATTCGGTCGAAAATAATTAAAAAAAATTAAAAAAATAATAATAAGTAGCGACCGATTCGGTCGGAAATTTTAGTAAAACGAGGGTTGACTACTTTGACCAAATTTCCGACCGAATCGGTCGGAAAGTTTTTTTTAAAAACCCTCCAGCGACCCCATTCTTTTCCTTCCCCTCTTTTCTTCCTTCTCTCTTCTCTCTCTTACTCAAACTTCCCCCCACCCAAATCCGCCGCAGCCATCAACTAGCAGGACTCGCCGCCGGCGCCGCCTAGCTGCAGGTCCGTCGACGACCCTCCACTGCCAGGTAAGTTTCCCTCATCCTCCTT